ATTTTACTCTGAATTTTCTCTCCATTTTGAAGTTGTCAACTCACCTCCAGCACCCGCAGCCCAGCGAGATAAAAGCATGCACGACGTCATTCAATTCATTTCAGCTCATTTACTGGATCTCAAGTGCATTAGAGCAAGAGGCTGCAGCAAAGATGGGCAGTCTCTCGGGGACAAAACACCCCCATAACCCTCCGATTTCACCCCCCACTGAACAGATAATCATCCTCCCCCTCCTTTCTGACGGAGGCTCAAAGTTTTTTGTCAAATGCCAAAAAATCTACAGGAAGAAGAAAAAGATGCGGAAGTTGGAGTTCAGCACGTGATAAAGTCACAGCGAGGGGGAGTCATGAGGTTTGAGAGATTTGTGATATGTGGTGTGTTTGGGTTTTATAGTTCGGGTGTAGTTTAGTGTATTTAGTGTTTAGTTTAGTTGATTTTAGTGTGTTTGAGTCAAAATAATGAGAACATTTTTAAGCATGAGGCCAGCGGAGGTGCAGACTCACAGGAGGACGGAACCGCAGAGTCAGAACCTCAAAGACTGAGGATCATGAAGGATAAACAAAGAAGGTGATCATGATTTGTTTTAGAAGAGGAAAGAGGAAGAGCGGACCAAGTTCCACTAAGGAGTCTGACTCTGTGCAGACGAGGGGTCCAGAACTCGCCTGACTGGGCCAACAGAACCAAGCATCAGTTCTGAGCTCTGGAGAACAGAGGAGGATGTGGACCCAAATGCTGGTAAGACCTTTTCATCAGTGATCAGCGTTTAATCAGTCTGAGTTCACCAACAGTTTTGCCGCAGACAACAACTGTGTGTTCGGAAACGACTCCGGCCTCGTACTCTGAGCCGTTAGCCTCCTACTCAAAAAGATATTGAGAAGGCTGCGCATTGACAAAATATCTCATGCAACCAAAAGGCCGAAAGTGATATTTATTCCATCCATCCATTATCTTTACCTGCTTCTTCCTTTCTGGGTAGCGGGGGTCACTGGTGCTGATATCCAGCGGTCACTGTGCCAGAGGCGAGCTACACCCTGGACAGGTCTCCAGTCCATCACAGGGACACAGAGACAAACGAGACAAACAACCATTCACTCTCTCACTCACACCTAGAGACAATTTAGAGTTACCAATCAGACTAACATGCATGTTTTTGGTCTGTGAGAGGAAACCGGAGTATCCGGAGGAAACCCACGTATGCACGGAGAGAACATGCAAACTCCACCCAGAAAGGTCCCAGGCCGGGATTTGAACCAGCGACCTCGCTGAGAGGCAACAGCTCTACCAACTAAGCCACTGTGCTGCCTGTGATATTTATTCCTATAAAAAAAAATACTACTTCCACAGTACGTTGCTTTAGAAAGTATCTTTCTCTACTCATTTTTCTGTAAAGGCAATTAGCAAAAAGCTAATAAACATGTCCACTGTCTTCTAGACCAACATGTTTGTTTTTAATATTTTTGCAGATGTAGACGACTAGCTGTGGCTTAAAAAGCTGCATGAACATGTAGCCTTCTGCACAAGTCACCCAGCAGATGAGAGTTCTTAGCGCAGCTCCTCTGCTTGGCTCCGGGTTTGAACTTACCACTATGTTCCTTGGCAGATTGATGCGATCGGCCATGGTGCTGATCTCTTGAAAGGCGTTCAGCATGGCCCGGTCAGAGCTGCTCATGGTCCTCCGGTTCTGATACTTGGAGTTTCCAAACTCATCAAAACTAGCAGCTCCTGTTCCCTGCGGAGAAAACACCAAACACTGATCAGAAAATATTGCATTTCAAGGCAAGTCACGATGACTTTGCTGCTCCAGAAAACAGGAAGCTGACGGATGCTTGGCTGGTCACCATCCAGGTGTCACCCAGAACTCAACGTTGTATCTGATAGAAAAAGATGCTTCACTAGATTTTCTATACAGAGATGAGTAAGAGATCCAAAATATTAAGGTAACTTCACCACTATAGAGCAAAATTTGAGTGAACTCTAAAAATAACAAATTTTACTCGTCATAGCTTCTTCATCATTTTGGAGAGGAAAAAAAAAATATGCCATGACCAAAGTGGGTCACTCCAATTTTAAAACCTCCAGAAGTGGAAGTGGGTCCACTCAAACCATATTTGGAAGTTAATAATGGCCTGACTGAGCAGACCCACTACCAAAGCTCATTTTCTTTGCATTACATAGTTTTTACAAAGTTACTTGCAGGCAGCAGCAGTTAGCTGTAACATCTTTAGTGCAGCCCGAGGTTTATATAATGGTGTTTGCATGAACAGATTTAAATTTTAATCATTGCAACTGTTTTAAAACATCCATCCACTTCCAAAGGGTTGAAATGTTACTTTAGAAAGCTGCAAATTACAGGAAACCGAATGTCTCCTCCTCCTCTGTGTTGTGAACATCAGAGCCCTATAGATAACAGCTGACAGAGTGATACTGAGATGCTCATGTCTGACTGGGGGACAGTCGTTTCTCACCTTGCTGATCATGGTGGTCAAGTCTCCTCCATTGAGCAGTGGGTTCTGAGCGTCTCCTACTCTGGAAGGATCTTTGAGAGCTTTCTCGTTGGAAAATGTCCTCCACTCTGAGCCCACATCGATTACACGGTCACCTGAGGAAACAGTTTGAATGGGATTTTAAAGCAATCTGGATAAATAACTAAACCCAGAACAACCAAAACATCAGTGGTGGTAATAGTTACTGCAGGAAGTTTTAACACCGATCAGTTATTGTACAGACACACCTGCTGTGTTCATTTTCAGTTTTTCCTTTGGAAACAAACTTTGAAGTGATTTCAGAGGCAGCGCTGAGTCGTCTTCACCAACAACCAATAAACTGGTGATGTCACCGAGTGTCTTAACACATCCCTCTGGGATAATTACCAGAAGGCAATGGAAGATTTAAAACCAGTCTTCATATAAACAACTTTGGATTTGTTTCTTTTTTTTTTTTTAGAACACAACTACAGAAGTTCTTTTACTAAAACAAAATTATTTTGTAATAACTGTGAACCTTCATGGTCATATAGAGTTCAGCTCCACCTCCAGTGCAGAAATTACAATCAAAATGCATCTTCAGTCTCCAAAAGGCCTCAAATCAGTTGATGCAGAAGTCAAATAAAAGGCTGTGACAACAGCAGAGAATGCAGTCTTATCAGAGTCAGAGTCAGAGTTTCTTTATTGTCATTCGCACCTCATGTGGTGGAGCGAAATTATGTACACAGGGTCCCAGTTACATCCAACAATAAAATGTCTAAGAAAAACAGTAATAACATCTAAGATATGAACTAAGAAAAACATCAACTAAATATACACTAAGCACTCATAACATAAAAACATTGAACATCAGCACAAACATGAACATGAGTCTGTGAGCAGATGTGCACGCATGAACACATCAACATTGAAACAGATCAGCAGCAACATTGAAACAGATCAGCAGCAACATGATATGGTTTTTCACAGTGATTATTCTAGTTAGAGACTCATGAGTCTAACAGCCTCAGGGTAGAAGCTGTTCCTCAGTCTAGTGGTTCTACACTTAATGCTCCTTAACCACCTTCCTGAGGGGAGTGGGGCAAAAAGTGTGTGCGCTGGGTGGGTGGGGTCCTTCATGATGCAGGTGGCCCTCTTCCTGCATCTGGAGGTGTAGATGTCTGTGATGGTGGGGAGGCTGATTCCGACAGATTTCTGTGCAGCCTTCACCACTCTCTGCAAAGCTTTTCTTTCTGCAGCTGTGCAGCCTCCATGCCACACGTTGATGCTGGAGCACAGGATGCTCTCCACTGCACACCTGTAGAAGGAGGTGAGGACTGAGCTTCCCAGACCAGCTCGCCTCAGCCGTCTGAGGAAGTAGAGTCTCTGATGAGCTTTCTTGATCAGGCTGGTGGTGTTGTTGCTCCAGCTGAGGTTGTCATTCATGTGTACACCCAAGTACTTGTAGCTGGAGACCACTTCCACCGCAGATCCTCTTATGTTCAGGGGGGTGTAGATGTTTTTGTTCCTTCTGAAGTCCACAATCATCTCCTTTGTCTTCTTCACATTGATGTGAAGGTTATTCTCTTTGCACCAGCTCTCCAGGTGTTCCACCTCTTGCCTGTAGCTGGACTCATCATTGTTTGTGATGCATCCCACCACCACTGTATCATCTGCAAACTTTACAATGTGACAGCCTGGATGGGTAGCTGCACAATCATACGTGAGCAGAGTAAACAGAAGGGGGCTCAACACACATCCCTGAGGAGAGCCAGTGCTGAGGGTTATGGTGGAGGAGGAGAGGTTGTGGATCCTCACTAACTGTGGTCTGTTTGTTAAAAAGTCTAGTACCCAGTTGCAGATGGAGGGGCTTAGTCCTAGTGTGGATAGTTTGTCCATCAGGGTTTGGGGGATCATGGTGTTGAAGGCGGATGTGAAGTCCACAAAGAGCATACGGACGTAAGAGTTTTTCTGCTCCAGGTGGTTGAGCGCAGTGTGGACCACAGAGGAGATGGCATCCTCTGTTGATCGGTTCTCACGGTATGCGTACTGATGAGGGTCCTCGTTGATGTTGATGGTTGTTTTGATGTGAGTCATGACCAGTTTTTCGAAGCATTTAGAGACTATCGGGGTGAGGGCCACTGGCCGATAGTCATTCAGACCAGTCACTGTAGAGCTTTTTGGGACTGGGATGATGGTGGCAGTCTTCAGGCAGGTGGGAACTGTCTCCAGGGTAAGTGAGGTGTTAAAGATGTCTGCCAGCACCTCACAGAGCTGATCAGCACATTCCTTCAACACTTTTCCGGGGATGTTGTCTGGGCCAGTTGCTTTGTGCGGATTAATCCTCCTGAAGGTACTCCTTACTTCTGCTGAGGTCACGCTGAGATGCTCTTCATCCGGTGGTGAGGTGAGTCTGGTGCTGGGTGGTCTGTTCGGGTCTTCAAAGCGTGCATAGAACTTGTTGAGGGCATCAGGCAGAGATGGGTCTTTGGGGCATTGTTCACTCCTTCCTTTATAATCTGTTATGCACTTAATGCCCCTCCACATGCTCCGAGGGTCTTGTGAGATGAATTGACCCTCGATCCTCTTTGCATATGTGGCCTTGGCCCTCTTAATACCAGCAACCAGCTCTTTTCTTGTCCTACTCAGCTCCTCTGAGTTTCCAGACCTGAAGGCAGTGTTCCTGGCTTCCAGCAGGGTACGCACCTCTGCATTCAGCCAAGGTTTTCTGTTTGGGTAGCTTTTAACATTTCTGATAGTGGAGACTGTGTCAGTACATGTACTAATGTAACCCAGTACTGAGGATGTGTATTGGTCAAGATCAAGCGAACCTCCTTTTTCAGCAGCTTCTCTGAAAACCTGCCAGTCTGTTCGGTCAAAACAATCTCTCAGTATGGGGCCACTGTCCTGGATCCAACATTTAACTTTCTTTTGTACCGGTCTGGAGCATCTCAGCGGGGGCATGTAAGCAGGAGCCAGGAAGATTGAGATGTGGTCTGACAGTCCTAGGTGGGGGCGGGGTTCGGGGTTATAAAGCCATTATTTTAATCCTGCTTTGAGACATGTTTTGTAGTTCAGTCAATCACGAGGAAATAAAGTGCTGCTCATCTCCTTGGAGGCCCGTTGAAGCTGTGAAAGCAAGAACTAAACTTGCATCAGAAAGCAGCTGATGCACCTCGTCTCCCACCTGACCTGCGGCGTGCTGAGGGGGCTCATTAGAGAGGGACTCTGTTCCCTACAGTCTTAGTTTGTATCACACGTTCAAAGGATTCTTGCTGCTCGTACTGTAATATTTACATTTATGTTCTAATAACCTACATTATAACACTTCCACTGAAAGTATAATCACTAACATATTTAAAAAACTGCACACATTAGCAAACTTTTCTGTAAAACAAACATCTTAAAGAAAAATGTTGAGATTTATTTGAGTTACTCTTGTCCAGCTGGGATTCCTGCAGGTATGACCCATGTATGTGGACCTGGTATGGTGAGTAACCATGGTGACGAGGGACCTGTTTATCAAGATGTTTCAGACTGTCACAAAAAAATGTGAGATTGTCGACATAAAAAATGAAGTGCTGACGAGAACTGAGCAGGAATTTGTTAAAGGATTTTTACGCGTTTCACTGACATGACTGAGGGAACACGTTCAGGACTAACTCTACACGGTTTCAGACGGAAACAAGAAAACCATAGCGGGTCGGTTGTGGTGCGGTGGTACTGGTAGGGCAGTCAACCTGGGACCAGAAAGTCGCAGCAGTCCCACGTCGTGGTGTCCTTGAGCAAGACGCCTAATCCTGAACTTCTGCCCGGGCGCATACATAGCTGCCCTCTGCTCGATTTGAGTGCATCTCCCGTGTGATGGGTTAAATGTAGAGCACAGATGTCATCATTGTATAAAAACACAGAATGACAATACATTTCAAGAAGTACTTTCATTTTCATAAAAGACTGCAGACAGCTCTTCAATGTTTCCTCTGCAGCGAGGACACAAACAGGAGGTCGTTCCCGCCCTCTGCAATGGCCTTTTATAAACAGTCTGAACAAATCTCTAATGTTCTCATTTCACCAGTGCACACGTGTTTCTCCAAACCACGACAGAGTTTGGCTTTTACACCATTCACTGCTAACAGCATGGATAGCTTTTTTTAAATCATCGACAAGCAGAACCAGACCTCAGACTTCAAACGCAGCTAAAACATGGACTCATCTCACCACAGAAAAACAGTTTTTCTATTCAGATAATTCTGGTTTTTATTTACAGCCTACTCCTCTCTCCTAATATATCTGCAAACTTTATAGAGTGTGTTGTTGGTATCAATTTTTTTTTCTTTGCCAAATAAAAGAAGTCATTCAGAGAAGAAACTGAAAACCTTTTGCTTTATAATTAAAGCATTTGTTGCATTTTACAAAACGTTAATTTTGTTTTCCCATCGGCTTCAAGCAAAGGTCCAGAATATTAAAATAACAAATGTAACTGTAAAATAAATTAATCATAAAATAAAGTATAACTGCAAAGGCTTTGTATTTATTATTTGCATGTGAAATTAAAAAGATTAAATAAAACTTTGGCCGTTTTTGTCAAAGCAAATGCTATATTTTTGACTAGAAGTGTAACAATACGTTGATTTAAATCAATTCATTGATTAATGATTCAATTATATCATGGCAAAACTAAAACATTGATTCATATCGTCATCTTTAAAATACGCTTTTATTTTGAAATTCCCAAGGCAAATTCTGTGTCACCATTTCCGTGCACGGCTGCGCTCTGCGGCCGCCTCAGCAACATGGCAGAAAACACATGATGAAATTCACTCTCCTGCTGGATTTAAATCAACACTGTGGAAATATTTTGGATTCTGACAGAAGGACGGCTCAACAGACAGAAGTCATGTCGTATGCAACAGGTGCCAGTGTGAGTTCAAATACTCAGGAAACAACAAATTTGGTCGTTCACCTGAAGAAGAAACACGGCGTTGATAGTCAGAAGCTCAACGTCTATTTTTGTTTCTTTATAACTGAAAGGTAATCAAAGCACTTTTAAGTAAACTGGTTTAAAAAATGCACTTAAACATGAGAAATGTGAGACTAACTGAACAGGTCATTTATTTTTATTTTTTCATTAATTAAGAAAAAAATGTTATTTTTTTTATTTAAATGCCTGGTGCCTGTAAATGTATTTATATGTAAATGAGATGGGCAATTGATATTGCAATATATCGATCACAGACTTGTGAATCGAATAGAATCAAAATCGTATGATTCGTGACAGACTTTGTGATAGAGAAAAATCGTATCGTCATTAGGCTTGTCACAATAATCAATAAATCAAGTAATTGGATGATGAATGAAAATTGTCGACCTCCTTTTCATTTATCGGCTTTACCGTTTTTTTGTGTCTCTCTTTCTACTGGACACTGTGCTACTCCGGTGCTCTTCACTGACTCCTCCCCTTCTCTTTTTTCTTTAAAATCTGTTTTAACCGTCCAAAATCGCGTTTCTGGATCCTTAAACGCAACTAAGCTGAGAAGCTAAGCTACGAGCTAAGCTAACAGGCCGACCTCGGGAAAAACTTCAGTTTTGTCAAAGAGACATGCTGCTGCTCCCTCAGCATCCATCAATCTGTTCAGACTTGTGCTAAGATCCGGTGGTTGAAAAAGGTATTACACGCAATAAGATAAGATA